GAGTTTTGATCAGGAATCGGTTGCCAGTTCCAACCTTCCATAAGCGTGGTTTCCTGCATTTTCTAAGGTTCTTACAGCTTGAGGTTTTACATTTAGGTCTTTGATCCATTTAGAGTTCGTTTTTGTGTATGGTGATAGGTAGGAGTCCTGTTTCAATCTTCTGCATGTGTTCAGTCAGTTTTCCCAGCACCATTTACTGAATAGGTTCTCCTCTCCCCAGTGGTTGTTATTGGAGGCTTTGTCAAAGATGAGTTGGTTGAGGAATTGAGACTTTGCTTCCAGAATATCCTGTTCCATTGGTCTATGTGCCTGTTCTTGTACCAATACCAGTCTGTTTTGATTACTGTAGCCTTATAGTAAAGTTTGAAGTCTGGAAGTATGATACCTCTTGCTTTGTTTCTTTTGTTAAGGATTGTTTTGGCTATTCATGGTTGTTTATGTTTCTATATAAATTTCTGTATTGTCCTTTCCAGGTCTGAGAAGAATGATGTTGGTAACTTAATGGCTATTGCGTTGAATCTGTAGATTGCCTTTGGTAGGATGGACATCTTAACAATGGATTCTTCCTATCTATGAGTATGGGATATTTTTCCATTTGTTTGTGCCTTCTTGGATTCCTTTGAGCAGGATTTTGTAGTTCTCACTGTAAAGGTCTTTCACTTCTCTGGTTAGGAAGATCCAAAGGTGATTATTTCACCTAGATTGTTTCCAAGAAATTTTTCTTCCTTAAGGATCTAGTCCATTCACTTTGCATATTCACTGCAGAAGACTTGAATTCAGAGGTGATGAGGAAAGAACAAGCATGAGCAAACAGATTCCAAAGAAGAGTTAAATAAGCCTTATTAATATCGGTGTGCCTTTGGTTTAAAAATTATGGTTGCAGTTCACCAAATTACACATTAACTCTTTGTTGAAATGGAACCCATTTCTTTATTTTGACCATTGTTTTCTGTATCCCATAGATCTTTCTTTGATGACAGAGGGAAAAACTATTAGAGTTTACCTAGAAAAATAGTCCAAGTGTCTTTTCAATTGCACTGTTTATTTTTTAAAAGATAGTTGTTTACTAACATAGGTAGAGGGAGAAATATCTCCTTCATTTAGTACAGTTGGCCAAGACAGTTCTACTTTTTCCCTGGCTAAGTCTCCATCTGTTTGCACTCAGGGGTGGCACTGAGAATGCCCCCAGGGGAACAGTTCCCTGCCCTAGCCCTGGTAGTATAGAATCTGCATCTCAGATGGAGGTCGTAGTTGCGTCAAGGGGACTTTTTTGTTGTATCAGAAGGTCACAGTTTCACCTTTTTTAAACACTCAGGTGGACCAGGAAGTGGAAAGGGTACTCAGAGCTTGAAAATTGCAGAGCGCTATGGGTTCCAGTACATTTCTGTCGGAGAGTTGTTGAGGAAGAAGATCCACAGTGCCAGCAGCAACCGGAAATGGAGTCTTATTGCCAAGATCATCACAACGGGAGAATTGGCTCCACAGGTACTGCCGTGTAATTTTCTTCTGTGATGCAAAAATTGTCATACCAGTTGAGTCTACTCAGTCTGACTGTGGTTCTTTTCATCCTTTCTCTTTACATAAGGAAACAACAATTACCGAGATAAAACAAAAATTGATGCAAATACCTGATGAAGAGGGCATTGTTATCGATGGATTCCCAAGAGATGTTGCCCAGGCTTTGTCCTTTGAGGACCAAGTAAGAATGTCTCCTTATATTCTAAGTGACCTACTTTTTACTTAAAACTTTGCGATTTAAAAAAAGTTTCTTGGAAGACTTGCTGTTTTTTTTTTTTAAAATGAATCCTGGTCTGAAAACAGGCAAATACATCAGCATGGGTTGGCAGAAAGTCAATTCCTTGGCACACACTTAGACATTGCAGTCTCTGCCAAAAGGAAAGATAAAAACTAATAATAGAATTCATCACTTTTATTAAAAAATGCGAATCGCTCTCAAATTTCCTTCAAAATACTTCTCTTACGATTCTTTTTTAGCCTTCATTACTAAAAGCAAGCCTTATTCAGTACTGTCCAGGGATATGAAACATCACCTTGTCCTTCCATTCTTCATTGGGTTGTGAAGTACTCAACACCTCCCTGTGTTAAGATAGGGTTCCGTTGCCAAAACTACTCAAATTTGAGTAAAATATGCCTGTTCAACACCCACCACATCTGTTTTAAAGGGAAATGCATCAATTAAAATATTTTGAATGTATATTTAAACCTGGAGAAGCTTGTGTTATAGATTTTTTTATTTGAGATTTTTAATGACAAAAATAATATATAATCATTCAAATGTCAAGTCCACTGTAAAAAGCGAAAGCCCAACCGCACCTCCCTTCCATCCCACTGCCCCTCCTCTCCTGAGAAATAGAAATATGTTCTTCTGGGCCTTTTTCTGTGCTTGCACACATATACACATGTATGCACACACATGTGCACGTGCCCTTACACAAATGCATTTTGTCTATTTTTGAACAGTTCTCCAAATTGACATTTCCAGGTTCTATCCGTGTTGAATGAGAGTGCCTGTTTATTTTTTCTTCCCAGAATCACTTATTTATTTCCTCACCCCTTCCTTCACACATGAAATGTTCGTGGGGGTCAGTTGATTTCCCCAGGTACGTTTATAGGGTGACAGACAAACATGGGTACAAATAAAAGACCCAGAAAGCCAGTAAGTGTGGTGTGTTTTAGCCCGAGAGTACGTATTTCTGTAGATCTTTTCCAACCAGATATAATTCATAGTTAAATTTTTTGCTAACCTGATAAGTAAGAAATGGTATTTCATTTTGTAAATTTACATTTCTTGGTTGCTGTTAAGGTTAAGGTATTTTCGTATACTTATGGACCCTTTATATCTCTTCCTTATGTGAGTTGCCTGTTCTCCTCTGCCCATACCCCTGCAGACTTGTTATTTGTTTGAAGATGCCTTGAACATGTTACAGATGCTGGGTCAGACAGGTTTAGGTCAAATAATATGTAAGTTTATGTCTCATATAAAAGAAGCCTGGAGTTAGACAGTCCAAGGGCAGAGGCAGCTGTCCAAAGCATCTCTTTGAAGATCCCTTAACTGTCTGGGAACACCTGTTGTGCTGGAATGTTTTTCTCCCCATCTCACTATAAGTTCAGAACTTCTGGTGGTCAGTCAGTTTAAGGACCTGGTTCTAACTGCTCTGACCTTGAGAGGAAAACTGGAAAATATGTTCAGTGTTTTATAGCTACTGTTACTGCCACATGAAATTGCCGTTGGAAACAGGTGCTATGGCTGCCATTACTTGTGAGTCTTAGTTATTGGTGGGCATCTAACAGCCAGACAGGTAGACAGGGAGATGTTACCACCCCAGCCATGTACTGAAGGAACTGCACTTGGTAGGTACAAGCAGATGGAACTTCTTAATTCTTTTATTTTCATTATATTTTTCTTTCTGTAGAGATGAGGTCTTACTATGTTGCCCAGGCTGGTCTTGAACCTCAGCCTCCTAAAGTGCTGGGATTATGGGTGTGAGGCACTGCACCTGACTCACTCTTTCTGATGACTCTCAGTCCTGTCATTAGTTCAAAGGTTTTTAAATATGCTGTGTTGAGTATCTCTTGACTTTTCTGGTTACTTAAAAAAATTAACAGATAGTCTCATTTTCAGCTATTAAAAACTCCAGTTCAATCTAAATCAAAACTCGAATTCCTCATTTGTGTTAACATATCTCTGCTGTCCCTGGCGTGGGCCTGGTTCAGGCTTAGAAACCTAAAGCAGAGTCTCAGAATCCAGTAATTCTTACTGATGTGGTTTGCAGTAGGTGGGGGTGCAGGGAGAAGTGAGGGTTCCTTCCAACATAGAGAAGAGTCAGGAAAATTATTGCTTTCTTGTGACTCTCTCTGGGCACCTGTCAATCTCCATCTTCTTTTGTATACCCCAGACATGGGTCATAATGCTGATTTGGGGACATCTGTTAGCAAATTCTATATGATGGTCTATATCTCTCTGGGGAATGTGCATTTATTGTTTTCACCCACACTTCTTAGGCTGAAAAAGTTCAATGAAAAAGCTCAATCATTGTCTTTGGTTGGCATTGTAGCCTGGAGATCCACAGCCACTGTGGGCAGTACAGAGGTGCCCGAGTTTATGCCACCATTGCTGTTTAGTGGGTGCAGAGTCAAAGCTGGAGTGTTTGTGCAAAGCAAAGTGTTCAGATCAGCCCTGATCACTTCATACCTTATGTTGGCTTTAAGCTTTGTAGTATCTTTTTTTTCTGCTCCCACTTCTGACACCAAATGTGGGGGGACTCCACACCAATTCTTTGGCAGCAGCTGGGTGTCAAAGAACTCAATTCAACTTGGATGCTAAATTTCCAGAGTTAATGCAGACCCCATTGGCCCCTTAACCCTACAGGTTAAGGACTTAGTCCCACAGGACTGTTCCCATTTTCTAGTTACCAGTTGCAACTTCCACCAACCACCTGTACTTCTGATTGACTATAATTTCAAGGATTACCACAAAACCCTCCCTAGGTTGGATAATTCACTGGAATGACTGATAACTCAGGAAAACACTTTACTTATGTTTACAGGTTTATTATAAAGGATACAACTAAATATATATTTTTTTATTATATCTCATCTTCTCAAGGTTTTGCTTTAAGCCAGCCTTTTTAGTGAAAGTGTGGGAGCGTGCATGCACACACAAATACACATTCAGACATTTGCCCCAAGATGCCCTCACAGGTCCAGTAGGACTGATGTCAACCACCTAACAGTGATAGTAAAGCCATTGTAATGAGAAGACCTAACCCTTAAGTGGCTTACAGGTAAAGAAGTGTAGTTTTTCTCTTAGAGACTGGCCTCCATGTGAACCATCCAGGTCCAGATTGTCTGGCCAGCTTTTCTCTTTGAGGTCCCTTAGGAACCATGGTTCCTTCAAAGTTGTTATCCTGCCATCTCCCAGGACACTGTCACTGGCTGTAAGGTTGAAGCAGGGTTGCCATCACATATGGGTTCCAGCTGGCGTGCAGGGGAAAGATAGTGTGAAGGTCTGAAGCCCTACATATGAAAGTGACATCCATCATTTCTGCTCACATGGCACTGTTGAGAATCAGTCTGGCTGGCATTGTGAGGAAGACTGGGAAGGATGTCCTTCTGGGCAGCCAGGTGCCTGGCTCCAACTTTATTACTGTGGAAGGTTGGGCGAACTAACAGACAGCTTCTACCACAGTTTGCTCCTCTGGTGTGCAAATGCCTGCCTGCTCCCTTCTTTCCACACATGGAACGTCCTCCTTCCCTCCCCACCAAGAGAAACAACCCAGAGTTCTGCCATTAGTCGAAAAGTCGAGAATCTCTGCTTGCTGTACATATAGTTCTCTTCTTTAGGTCCACACTTGTCTCCTCCTACTCAGCCACCTAGAAACAAAAATTCCAGTTATCATCCTCACCTGCCATCAATAAACAGTGGAAGGGCAAGACCTGGACATGTGAAATAAAGGCTCCCACTCAGAAAAGGGAGGCTTGCGGATATAAACAGTTGTCACAGAACCTTGACAGGCAGCCAGTCCTGTTAGCTGGGATTGCGGAAGGTCCTTTCCTGGCAGTGGAGTGATTGCTGTGGTTAGCCCTTAGGCAGCTCCCAGTTCTATCTTGGATTAACTCTTTGTTCTCCTCTGATGCCCTCTCTGGTCCTCTGAGAAGTTCTTCCTTGTCTCTGACCTGCATGGCCACATTAAAGTGGTTGTTGGAGATGATGCCTTCCTCGAGACATATTTTAAGTTGGAAAAACCACATATGCCTTTGCTGGCTATACTTATGTTAACGTTGGTAAAAACCATTTCTCCAAAATTTGGGAGGTTTCCTCTCTTTCTGTTTCCAGTCAGTGCCTGTAACCACACCTGACGTTTTTTCCCAGACATAGTTATTAAGCTGCTGTATTTGTTTGTCTTCTCATTTTAATAACAGTTTACTTGAGGTCATCTAAAACAGCAGACTTGGGTAGAAAGGCAACATCCTTAGCTTTGGCTTTGTTTCAGGCTGGGGTGCCCTGTTTTGGGGTGGTGCTGGTGGATTAATGGGAAACTTTTTTCCAACAACCGCCTTAAGTCCTACTATTTGGAAGTATAGAAGCAGTTGATTTTTTCACCCTTGTTAGGCCTTAAGTTAATGGATGCTTTGTTTTCTCTGCTTGCAAATCAGTCAGTTTTTTCTTGAGTCTATCGATGTCTCGTAATATTATGCTAACTGCCACAAGGAGCAGTCAATGTATACTAACTTTCTAGCTCTATCTAGTCATTTCATCTCTAGCTATGGGCTCCATTGGAACATGGCCTGCCTTCCAAGTTATCACAGCGATTGTGGTACCAAGTAGTTTTCAATGGCATAAAGAGGGCCACCAACTTTCCAGCCTAAAATATCTGTGTGCTCTTACTACCCAGCCAAACCAATGCCACATCGTTCAGTGTTTTGATATGGTAGCGTCCCACTTATATGACTGTTGTCTTCACTACTGAGCATAAACCCAAGGTGTTATAATAAAAAAGATACAGTGGCAATACACAGGAATTTATTTCTCTTGCAAACAAGCTATAGCCTCACTGTGAATGACGGCAGGGTAGTTTTAGTCCCCACATTTGCTCAGAGATGCAGAGTTTTATTTAAGTCACTGTCTCTCGAGGGCAATATTTCTCAAATTTTTGGTCACAGGACAGCTTTATACTT